GGACAGGCCACCTGCCATTAGGGGTTTATCAAGTCAGTGTCCAATGTAAATAACTACACAAGTGTAAAGAAGCAGAGTAGCTTGTTGACCTGTGTAATTTAAAGGTTTTGACCCCATAACAATGAGTTGTATATTTATCCATATCTTTTGGTAAATTAATGATCTCAATTCCATCAAATGGACATTTCTAAATAAACAAAGCAAAGGATATCAACTTCGAGCTGCAACTTCCTGTTGGTATGAAAAAAAGCCAAGCAAAGTGTGTCACAGTGTACACATACCTTAGCACATATACCACACCTTATGCAAAGCTCCTTGAAGATATATGTCATCTTGGATGTAGAAGTGGGTTCAATACATAACTTACCTGCCAAAAGGAAATGCATATTAAGTGCATAACCATTACAAGGTCCCTAGGCCGATAACAATTATATTTTTTTATTGTGATAAAACTGAAAAAAACACCATATTTCAGAAAGGTGAAAGAGTTAGAGAACAAAAAAATCAAAATTAAGAGTAAAACTCATGGTACACCGGTGATGGAGAGAATGGATTTACCTTTTAGATTGAACCTTAAATTTTTTTCTCCATTATACTCAACCCTGCACAAAGAAAAAAAAACCTTCAAAATCAATTGCAGGAAAAGAAGAGAGAGAGATAGAGAGAGAGAGAGAGAGAGAGAACCAAAGAAAGAAACAACGAATTCATGGTGAAGGCAGCCACAAACAAGCCCCTAAATCATTGATTAAAAAGTAAAATAAGAGAAATTTGAGGGTTAAACTTTATGGTTCAGAAAGGAGAGTACAGAGGAGGAGGGAGCAGGTGGTTGTTGTTCGATGGTGGTGAATGTTGTGGTGTCTTCCGTGGATATTGGTGACGACATCGTAGGAGTGATAGTGGTGTAGCGGTACTATTGGTCATGGCGGAACATGGTAGTGTGTGTGGTGGCGCTGGTGGTAAATTTTGTGCTCCGCTAATGCATCATTCTCTGATAATCTGAGAGAAACGACAACAACAAAATTAAGAACCGAATAAAAAATCAACCAAGTCAAATAGGAAGAAAAAAAATCACTAAATTGAGGAATCTAATAGCATTATTTCAAGCATCTTCCAATATTGTCGATGCCAATGTTTAAACAATTAGAAACACAGGGGATAAATGGAAGAAGATAAATATATTTCAAAATAACTGAAATCCCTTTATCCTCAAATCATGGTTCAAGATTGAAGAATTCAAATTCAGAAAATGATTACGCCTTCAATTCCTCAAATCACGTAAGGGATTTTAGCGGGCTAGGTCAAAACCATTGATTATTAAACGAATTCGTCAAAGGAACAGAGATAAGGTTTAATTGTGCATTAACTGAGAATTTCCTAACTTTTTTTATTTGTGTTGAACCAAATAAGATTTCAATGCATAAATGTATTATACATATTGTTTTATGACGTGTACCTCTTAAAATTCAGCATTTAAGACTAAATGCTTATTAAAGTATATATATATATATATATATATATATATATATATATATATATATATATATATATATATATATATATAAGAAATGAAGATCAATTTTTCCATATGTCAATCTCTCATAAATTTTGACACTTGTCATTTTGTGATATTTTTAAAATAAAATAATATTGATTTTTCAATTTTTAAAATTAAAGTCACATAATACTTATACTTATATATGTAAAGTATTAAATGTAATAAATTTTGATAATAAATTGCAATTAATATGTTTTTCATTCCTTATATGAAAATTTTATTTTAATAAATATTTATTGTTTACACTTTGATATATAATCTTTTTTAATCAACCCGTGTATTACACGGGTTTTACACGTAGTATATATATATATATATATATATATATATATATATATATATATATATATATCTATATATATATATATATAGAAGTTAGTTCAATTGATAAAATAAAAAAGGTTGAGAATTGGGGAATCATTCTCAGCCAATCATACCCATTTATTTTTGCCGCAAAAGCCTTCGTCATACCAGCGGAAATGGGAAAGGAATACACATGTGTTTTCCAACCAAACATGTTTCCTTAAACTATGCTAATCATTACCTTAATATATACAAAAACATAGTTTTTTTTTCGTTTTTTTAATTTTCAAGAAGCTATTTTTATCGAAAAATGATTTTAAATATACCAAAATTCATGATTTTTTATTCTCTACAAATAGACATCTATATTGATATAGTTTTAAGATAAAATAATTTTTTTTTATATTTTCAGCTATCATTATTAATAGGTGAATAAAAATGTATCAGATTTTTCGTACATCACATTCGTTATTCACTTATGAATAAAAAATATTATTAATTTTTTTACAGATTAAATATCATTCACATGTAAATATAACATATAATCAACTCTCCTCACATGTTATATTCACATATGAATAAAACGTGTATTGACTTTCCCCACAAGTTATATTTATATACGAAGAACATATTTATAATAATTTTGTTATGGTTCATTTGTTATTCTTATATGAATATGTAGTTCAAAATTTCAAAACACTTCATTTTTTTAACATGCTACTTATTTATATATGAATAACAAATGAACTGTAACAAAAATCTTAGAAATGTTTTATTAATATATGAAAATAACATATGACGACAATTAATACACGTTTTATTCATATATAAATATAACATGTGACGAAAGATGATGTAAAAAAAATATTTTATGTATTTTATTAATATATGAAAACTTTATAACGTGTTATAATCACATATAAACGATACTTAAACTATAAAAAGTTAAGCATGTATTTTATTCATAAGTGAATAATGAATGTACCTTAATAAAAATCTGATGAGTTTTTATTCACTTATGAATAACGATACCTGAAACTCTAAAAAAATAGTTTTTTTTATTTTATCTTAAAACTATATCAATATGGATGTCTATTTGTAGAGAATAAAAAATTATGAATTTTGATATATTTAAAATAAATTTTCGATAAAAATAGCATTCTAAAAATAAAAAAAAACGAAAGAAAATATGTATTTGTTTGTTTTAAGGTAATGATTAGCATTCTTTAAGGAAACATGTTTGGTTGGAAAAAGATATGTGTATCCATTACTCATTCCGCCGGTACGCGTAAGTGTTTTGCGGCAAAATAAATGTGTGGCTGAGAATGATTCCCTCATTCTCAACCTTTTTTTTTCTCAATTGAACCCATATATATATATACTATATATATATATATATATATATATATATATATATATATAATATATAGGTTTAGGTTCTATGGAAAACAAAAAACCCCAAAAATCAAAAAAATGCATAAAAAAATACTTAGAGATCACAAAACTTTTTTTTGAATTTTTTTTATGAAAAAATCGCAGCTTTCACTTTAAATTTGCTGAAATTTTTTTTTGAAAAAAAACCAATTTAAAAAAAAGAATTGATTTTTTATTTTTTGTTTTTCAGCGATTTTTATATAAAAAAATTAAAAAAAAAAGTTTTGTGATCTCTAAGTATTTTTTTTATGTATTTTTATGATTTTTAGGGTTTTTTTGTTTTCCAATAACCCTTCCATATATATATATATATATATCTATATATATATATTATATCTATATATATCTATGGAAAAGTTCAATAGAGAACCATTATTAATCAAGGAACCAAGGAACCAATCCAAAATGTCGGAATTTAAAGCGATCAACGGCAAAAGGAATGGTTGTAAACTTTTATAATGGACGCACATGTACCAGATTATAACAAAACCACTTCATTTTTTTTCATTTAAAATTTTTTTAGGCCAAGTTTTTCATCGAAAAAAAACCGAATATACCGTTGTTCACGATTTTTCGTCATCTTTCCATAGAGATCCATGATGATATATAAAAAACGAACTTTTTTTTTCGAAAAAAACCCACTTAAATTTCTTAGTTTTTTCAATATTTAAGTTTATTTTTATCAAAAAAAAACTAATTATACCAAAAATATTAATTTTTTGTACTCTATTAATAAACATCAACACCGATTAAAAAAAATAAAATAAAAAAACCCCGAATAATGTAGATTTACACTGTGAATCTAAACTGTAAATATTTCAATTTTTAAAATTCACAATATGAAAAATCTCGAACAGTTCAGATTCACATTGTGAATCTGAATTACTATTATGCACATTATGAATCTGAGAAGGTTCACAAAAAAAAACATCGATCAGTGTAGATTCACACTGTGAATCTGAACTGTAAATATTTCAAATTTTAACATTCACAATGTGAAAAAGCTCCGATCAGTTCAGATTCACACTGTGAATCTGACTTATTATTATGCACACTGTGAATCTGACTTATTATTATGCACACTGTGAATCTGAGGAGGTTCACAATGTGAATCTGAACAGGTTTACAATATGAATCTGAACAAGTTCACAATCTGAATCTGAACTGAAATATCGTTTTTTTTAACATAAATATGAATCTATGTTTAAAAAGTACAAAAATATGAATTTTGATATATTTATTAATTTTTTTTCTATAAAAAAATAGACCTTAACTTTTTTCATCAAATAAAATGAAGTGGGTTTTTTCGAAAAAAAAAAAGTTCGTTTTTTATATATCATAATGGATCTCTATGGAAAGAGGACGAAAAATCGTGAACAATGGTATATTCGGTTTTTTTTTTCGATAAAAAACATGGCCTAAAAAAAATTTTAAACGATAAAAAGTGGTGAGTTTTTTTGTAAATGGTGGATTTTTTGGTATAATCCGGTGTGCGTGCGTCCAATGTAAAAGTGTACATCTATTTCCTTGGCCGTTGATCGTTATGATTTCTGACGCTCACGATTGGTTTCTTGGTTCCTTGGTTAATTATAGTTTTCTATTGAACCTCACCTTTTTATATATATATATATATATATATATATATATATATATATATATATGGGGTTACGGAATATACATTACAGCCCATATAACCTTAGCTACAAAACCCTCAAACGACGTCGCTTTGGCTTAAAATTTTAAATCTCTGATTTGGGAAAACAACTGAACTCACACATCGATTGGTATTTGGGGTGTGTGTGGTCGTAAAATTCAGAACAGACGAGGAGATGGGAGCGGATTCGGAGCATGAAAAGGACGATTAAGAGCATTTGGCTGAAAGAATCGAGACACTAGGGCATAAATCGATCGCACATAGATTCTCGATTACCCTATGTTGATGTGTGGTCACGGGAACACAAAAAAGGAGGAAGGTAGTCGCTGATGGAGGTGGCGCTGACCACTAGAGAGGGTAGCTGCGACATCAAGCTGGAGGTTGCCGGAGAAAGGTTTCCCAATCAGGTAGGGTTTAAGATATTATGTATTGTCTTTGTGAATTCGACATTAAGCTCGATTGTAGTCCTTCTACTGACCTATTGTAGGTTAATGCGACAGTGCTGCAGTATCAAAATCAGAAACTTGTCCAGCAGTTAAACGTCCAGAAGCAGCAATTACATGATCTAGAAGATAAAATTAAAGAATTAAGATATGAGCAAACTTCTTATGATGACTTTTTTTTTTTATCAAAATCAACCAACTATGGCCACAGGTGAATTCTTATTTCAAATTTCCTTTATAATTTGCATTTTAGTTTTTACCTGAACACCTTTTTTTTCTAGTTGATCATCTTTTCATGAAAAATCATGTTTTGAAGGTTGGTTTTGCCCTTATTTTGGAGAATTCATATAAAACAAAATAACAGGGGATCAAATGGCATTATGAATTCATTTAAAATCATCTTTTGAAGGTTGGTTTTGCCGTTATTGAGTGTTATACCTTTTTTTGTTAGTCTATCAAGTATTTCAACAATGAGAAATTTGAGGCGTAAGTAGCTTGACAGCAACAATGGTACTGAGTTCAAATGGTATTATGAATGGTATAGACACAGGTGGTGATTTGGTAAACCATTTTTATAGTCTTTATTCACAAAAAGACATGATTTAATGATATATTGATATGACCATATAAGCTCTTTATGATATGATATACATAGGTTATGGTAAATGGGCTACTATTACAGCTGTCTTTGTCACTCAATTTTCTTGGGAGTGTCTACCGTGAATGTGGCAGAAACTCTAGAGTTTATCACTAATTGTTTTTGTATCTTCAAATGATCAGATCTACAGGTTGCCTGGGAAAGTTTGTGCTATGCCACCGCTACATTACACATACAAAAGGAAGGGTAAAAAGGGAAAAACAATCAATAGAAGATGATGATGCAAGTGAGGAGAAGTATCAACCGGATGTTAAAAGAAGTCTGTTGAATTGAACTCAGATTTGGGTTGAGGGAGACAACAAGAAAGTTAGATCAGTTGAGAGAAAGTTAGAACAGTTGAGAGAATTTGATTGTATTTACTTCTATTTAACATCATTATACTTTTATAAATGGTATGAATAGTCCAGTTTGATTCCTGCATAATACATCATTGTATTTTCATAATATTCATAAATGGTCTAATTGCATGTAAATGAGTGTGAGTTAACCAAATGATGAAAACGCCCACAGTCGCTAACCCTACGTAAATTCCAATCACCTGCACAGAAAAATACATGGTAAATTACAGTCCATTTAATTTTATTATTCTGACAGAATTCAAAGGAATTGGAATAGCGAATTCCATTCCATCGCATACACTTGGATACCAATTTTCAGTCAAATTAGCTTAAGACATGACTACACATCTTTGTAAATCTGGCATTAAAGATTATATAATGGCATCGTACTTTAACTTTTTACACATAATACCCCTGTACTTTCATTTTTAACATATAATAACATCAACCTTTTATTGTATACACATAATAGCATCGTACTTTCATTTTTTACTCATAATACCCCCGTACTTTCATTTTTAACACAAAATAGTATCGTACTTTCATTTTTTACATATAATACCCCCGTACTTTCATCTTTTATATCTAATGCCATCGTACTTTAACTTTTTACACATAATACCCCCTTACTTTCATTTTTAACATATAAGAACATTAACCTTTTATTGTATACACATAATAGCATAGTGTTTTCATTTTTTACACATAATACCCCCGTACTTTCATTATTAACACATAATAGCATCATACTTTCATTTTTTACACATAATACCCCCGTACTTTCGTCTTTTACATATAATGGCATCGTACTTTAATTTTTTACACATAATACCCCCGTACTTTCATTTTATACACATAGTACCCCCGTAATTTCATTTTTTACACATAATAGCAGTAACCATTCAAAATTTTCATTCCAAAACAGCAATGTACACGATTTATGTCCAAAACTGCAAAAAAGACAGTTAACCAAAACTAGAAAAAGGAGAATTAACCAAAAATTGGAAAGAGGACAATTAACCAAAACAAAATGTTGTGATATCTCATTGTTTCTCTTGCAATGATTCATCTACCTGTTACATGAAAATATAAATTGATTATTGTATACATATAAGAACTCTAAGATCATGAAAAACTAAGTTAATACTATAAGTACCTTTCTTTTAGAACAACTAGTAGCATAATGACCTAATCCTTGACAGTAAGAGCATGTTCTCTTTTTTGGCACTTCTAAAGAAGACTTGATTCTACTAGCAATTTTAGGACGCCATTTCGTGTTAGTTGGACCAAGAAGATCCCGGACAGATAACTAAGGCATCATATCGACTTGTGAAATTCTCACACTAGAACCTTGAGATACGTTATCAACTAGTAAAGGCTTTTTCTGTATTGCTTGATCTTGTAAGAGCTTTATCAATATGTTATTGACCTTTTCTATTTCTGAAGGGGAGTCTTTTGCTTGTTCAATTATTTTATTAAAATTTGAACGAACACACCATAACGTCAAATCACTAACCCCATTTCCGTTATTCGTTTCTTCGAGTCCAATGCTACGCTTACCCACCTTGTACCTAGCATTAAGGGTCCACCTAGGTAAAATGTAGTGACTCGGAAGTGTGTCAACATGCCTTTTCTTCATCACGTATAAGCTATGTTTGCATAAAATCCCACATGTCTCATACTTATCACAAGAACATGTGACATGCATATTATTTGACAAACAAAAGGTAACAATCCGCCAATATTTTTTGTCAACGTCTAGTTGCCCAACTCGATACTTGATTTCTTTTGTACTTTTGCTTAGAGTCTCATGCGTTAAATTGCTAGTAGCTTTTATCCATTCTTTTTTGAAAATCTCAAAAACCTTTCTAGTATAACACTCACCTGCTTTTGCTTCTATTGGATGTATTGAGGAAAGAACCGGCCTTGAGTTCATTGTCTTGAAATCTTCATCTTCTTCGGCGGCCCTTCGTGACGCAACTGCTTTGTCATATTGTACTAAAAATTCATTCAACATGGTACTCGCGTTAACAAAATCATCAAAAAAAGGAATTAATACTCTCACTTCGTCCACTTGTTGACATACCGGCCAAGAAAATATTCTTTAAGAAGGCTTCACCCCAATGTATTCGTTGGTTATACATATCAGTTATCCAACAATTGTTTTCAAGTTTATACTTATCACGTATAACTTCCCACCTAGTTTCAAATTCTTCAATTGTGTCACTCATTACCCATTCTTTATAGGATTCTTGAAAATCACTATAACGGGCAACGTACGCTCGAAGGTGCTCCAATTCATGCTTTTTTATATGCCATGCACAAAAGCGATGTCGAGCGTTTGGGAACACTTTTTTTATTGCATTTCCCATAGCTTTGTCTTGATCAGTAATAATAGCCTTCGGATACTTGCTAAACATACATTTTAGGAAATGCTCAAACAACCATACAAAAGTTTCTTCCTTTTCATTTTCTAGCAACGCTCCACCAAAAAGTATAGACTGTCCATGATGGTTCACCCCAGTAAACGGAGCAAAAGGCATCTTGAATTTATTTGTCATATAAGTGACATCAAACACAACAACATCTCCAAATTTAGTAAAATCGTCTCTTGATTTTCCATCGGCCCAAAAAATATTTCTAGGATACCCATCACTGCACAAATCCACAACATAATACTGATCATTATCCAATAATGCTTTATCTTGCAGATGTTTTATTAGTCCATAGAACTCCCTTCATCTGTTGTGTTTTCGTTGCTCAGATAATACACCAAAACATTGTTTTGAAGTTACATCAACTTCATTTGAGGTTTTAATTGCATTAATAGCTTTTTTAATTTGAGAAGGTTTCAACCCTGATTGATTAAGTTTCACCATGAGAGATTTACATTCTGCTGTACGGTGGAACTTCGCATGCGGCCGATGCTTCATCACCTTCGTTGGTGTGCTGCTCAATTCGTGATTGTGTGTGTCATCAAACAAGTCAACAAACCATTTCCCATCCTTATTTTTTGAAATTCGAAGCATTGCTTTGCATCCAATTCTAAATTCTCTACGACGTTTTTTTTATGTCCACTTGAAGTATCACCATCCTCCCGTTTAAAACCTTCTTTGTCGCATACAAGTATCTTTCGATAAGGTTCATTTGTCCCCTTATTTTTGAATGTAGTATGAATACGTATTCCAAATCCATGTACAAATGCATAATCATTATAAAAGTTATACGCATCATCAATCGTATCGAAAACCTTTACCACTATGCTTTCATCTTTTTCACATTTGAAGTTCACATCAACCCCGTCTATTTTTTCAGATTCATATGTGGCATTTGACAAATCATCTGCAGCAACATCTTCAACTATATGTGTTTCGATAGGGTGAACATTGACTTCAGTTTCAAACATCATGTACTGTACAAAAGGAAACAATGTATTATTTAACATTAAAATTATCATGATCAAGTAAGAATGGAACATTACATATAAAAATTGACATAAATATGAATAATCACGAATCATATAACTCGACACTAGGAAATAAACCAAATTCACCAAAAAAATTGACATTGAGAAATCAATCAAATTGACTATGTAGAACAAATTCAAGAGGTGGGGTTGTTATGTATCTTTTGAAAAATAATCAGAAGTGCTTATTAGCTTATAAGGTTAAGGATGATGCCCAAATTCAGGGATTATAAAAAAGGAATCAGATTTACCCAGCTTCAATATATAATTATAGTACCTAAGTTAATTAGTTAAAAAATGATATATGAAGTTGTATGACATTAAAAAGTAAATAAGATGAGGTATAGAGAGTTTGAATGTTAATGTATAAAGCTGTCTGGGCAGGAAAACTCGTTTATAAGTGCAAGAGAACTAATAAGTGCATACCACAAAGTACACCCCTACGTAAGTAAACTTTCTGAAAAAAAAAATTACAAATCTGAGTACAAAGATCTCACGAACTCAATCACAAACTTAATACAATGAGATTCAACCGTAGCAAGCAAGACCCATATGCAGTTCACGAACTCGACTTAATTGACGAAATAGAACAAAATCAATCAGAATCAATTTCTTAGAAGAAAATCACGTAACAAAAGATGAAAAAAAATCACAATCCTGATCAGAAGTAAATCACGCAGCAGAATGAGATTCACCAAGAATGGGACGAACCAGATGCAATTCACGAACACAACTTAATTGACGAAATACAACAAAATTAAACAATACGTGATTTCTTAAAAGAAATTCACGAAAAAAAATTGAAAAAAAATGACAAACCTGATTAGAAGAAAATCACGCAGCAGATAGAGATTCACCCAGACTGGGACGAACCAGATGCAATTCACGAACCAAAAAAAGAAGAAGGAACAATCGAGAAAATCTATTGAAAAAAAAATCACTTATTGTTATGGAAGGATGAGTTTTTTGTTCAGGAAATCACGCATCCATTATTTTTTGGAATATACTCTAGCAAAACGACGTAGTTTTGAGGGTTTAAGTAGCTAAGGTTATATATTCCCTTTTCCATATATATATATATATATATATATATATATATATATATATATATATATATATATATATATATATATATATATATATATATATATATATATAATTGTCAAATATGATTGAATTATGTATATAGGCGTGTAGGTTGGCTATTGGTGAAAACAAATATATACTTAGTTGGATAACACGTATTAATGCTTTTGAATTTATATTAAGTTAATCAATTGCTTGGACATATAGTAAAATAGTACATCAAATTCTATCTAAAAAGAGCGAGTCACACAAATTGTACAAATTTCAATACGTGTTAATATTAAGTGCATACTAATTAATTATAATGTACGGATCATTTATATCTATATTGAAAGATTTGAAGTATAAATAGGAGGATTGTATTACTTTTCAATATTTATTCCAATTAAAACTTTTAGATAGGACAAACGAAATCTCCCGGAAGCATACTTTCAAATATAAAAGGTATGATTTTTATAATCGAAAGCTCCTTTATAGTTATGAATTTAAGACATTAGATTAT